CCCCCCGCAAAAAAAAAAATCATCTAGCCGAGGACAAGATGTTGTTATTTCACCCCCGTTTCAGAAACTGTGCATCTGTTGTAGTAACTCAGCACTTGGATTTCTAACTACTTCACAAATTGTAACACCTACAGCCTTCACTGCAAGGACTGAAAAAAATCCCACTCATCACCTACACATCTCAAGAATCAGATATTAGCGAGAATAAAAGGCATCAGTATTGCCACACCGTGCTCCAAAGACTGTCAGTAACTTAAGTCATTGTATGTGTTTTGCTGCTTTCTGGATTCACATTCTATTAATCCTGCCTATAATCAAGGCATTTGGTTTGCCACCTTTCCTTTCTGTCTCACATTCCTCCTATGATTTACTTCACGTTTACTGTTCCACATTAAGCTCCTTTTCCATCCTTTCAAGTTCCTTCCCCCTGAGGAAACAACAACATAACTGATAAAAGTCCTTCTACTTCGAACCTGGAAGACTAAATGCAATGCCTTAAAGCATCTCTTGCCTTACTCTTACAACAATGCCCACTTAAGGATGACTCTATAGTCACCAGACTGGATGTAGGCTAGGTATAATACAGTAAGGTTCATCCTTCATAAAATAAGCCACCAAATCAAGTTAACAGACATGAATCTTTAAAGCAAATGAATAAATAAAAACTGTGTCTCTTGTTAAGAGCTACAGCTTGATGTTAACACATAAACTGAAAAAACGCAGAAGCAGATGCTGCATTGGCACACAAAACCAGGAGTCCTAAATGTAGGGGATTTTAATGTAAATTAACACATGCCCTGTTTGTCTTCTGGAAGAGCTGGAACATGCTAGTAGAATTTCAGTAAGAAAAGAAATTCTTATATTCATTGTAGAGAGATATATAACCCTGTCTACTTCATTTGTCACTTATATTTCCAGTTGCTGTAAATCAGGTTTTGTTTCCGTATCTTTTCCCCAGCCTCTATTTTCAACATTTTTTCCGCACTGGGCAGTCAGAGTGATTTTCACAGTGACAAAGAATTATTCATATCGCCTTCATTCCTTTGATAAACACCAGAATAAAAGTTAAAGGAAAACCAAACTACTACCGTCCCCTACCCCCAAATTATATATAATGTAAAGTACCAGGGTCATCTTTCACTGTAAGGTATCTTGGGACAAGAGGGCAAAACCAACAGCCTTAGACTTAAGGGACACGGAGCAGTGGTGTTACTTCATCCCTGACTGAGGATAAAAAAAAACAAAACAAAACACAAAACCAAACCAACAAACCAACCATGTACCAGTTATAAGGAAAGATACTCTCCCTTCTTGTCACACCTGATAAAGAAGTCACACGTGTGAAAGCTTGCGCCATTTTGCCAACTATTGTACTCTAACAAAATATAACACCTGTCACACAAAGCCTGCTACACAAACTAGAAAATTTCATTTTCCTAAAATAATAAACACAGATCTTGCCTATAATAGCTGCTTTCACTCATGAACGGTTTCTAAACAGATGCTCAGAGCTTCAAATGAGGAATAAATCCCTATTATATATCAGATTTTTAATGAAGCAGATCCTGGGAGTTTTGTGCCTCTCAAATGCAAGGTGCTGCCCCATATAACTGTAAGCACAGTGTAGACAAAATTTCAAAAGAATTTAGCTATGTAAGTTTCTGAAGACTCCAATACACACCAAGTGCAATGAAATGCCTTTTTAGAGAGCCTGAATGCAATGTTGAATTTCTTAAGTGATCCACTTTGATACAGTAACCTAAGTCCTTAAATAACCCAGACTTACCTAGATTGTGTATTAAATCTTGAATTCTATAAAACTTGATTGTATTATTTTGGGTAAGATGAACCAAATCCTTTAAATACAATAATGGTGGCTTTAAGAATAAATCTCAACATTAACCTTGGACAGATATCACCAGTATCCCTGAATTTCAGTGTTATATTCTAGTATTTTTTCAAACAAGAAATAAGAGTCCAAATTAAATAAACCAATCTGTAGCTTCATGTGATAAGCTTTCACAGTTCAGAGACATATACAAGCATTAAGACAAAAATTTTCGATTTTTCTATCTAGAAACTAGTAGAGCCACAGAATCCAAAACAAAAATTATCAGATAAGTAGACTCTGTGTATTTAGCACATCTATAGTTAATTTTTATACATAATCTCAGAGAATGTCAGGGTTGTTTTCAGTTTTGCTTATATTCAATTTTTCCTTATATTGCAGCTACATGGTGCAGAAGAATGGCAACATGTTAGCCAAACTCATACTTAAAGGAGTACCACTTCCAGACAACTCTTGAAGCCTTCCCCACTAGTGGAATAAGATGACAACTCATGTATCTTTTAGTACTGGGTTACAGTAAGATCTGAAACAAGTGTTTTGTCAGTGTTCTAAGCTAACCTGCACTTTTAGGTTATTACAGCTGACAGCTGCTCAAAATACTGTCACTAATAATTGTCAGTTCTAAAGATGCCCATTTTAATAATTCAAGGAAGAATTCCATATTAATGCTAAGTCATAAGTAATTCAGGCCATGTATAGACAGCTGCAAAGATCCCTGTCAGGAATTTCTCCACATCTGCCCTGCGTTACTGTGTACCAGATCAGTCCCTTATGATGGCCATCTTAACTTCCTTCTCCCTAGCAATTTTATTAGCTGCATAGAAGTTAATAAATAGTTAAGAATACTACATAAAATGGACCATGAAGAACTAAAGGGCACTATAATGTTCCACAAAATTATGACATTTGATGTAAGAAAGAGTCTAGATCTTCTTCCAATCTCAAGCTCCTAAATTAAGGTGTACGTGAAAAATAAAGTACTCTCATTCACATGACGGTTTATTTTTTGGACAGTAGCTAAGCAAGACTCAACTGAAAAAAAGATTAAAAATTCCTAGGGACCATAACAAGTTTTTTTTCAGGAACCAGAAGGTCCCCGAAGTTGGTCTCAACCTCTGCTCAACTACCTGTGACAATACAAGAAAACTTATGCATTACACGTTACATTGCGCAAGTCATGAAAGCTCTCACACCATCACTACTTGTATCTCTGCATCCTTAGAGTGTTTCCCATCGTGCATTTGTTAGAGCAAGTGCCTGGAAAGGCAATTGTGAAAGGCAAGGAATTTACAAGCAACACAGCCTTCTAAGAAACACACCTACAAGATTCAGAAACAAAGCTAAGGTTAGCTGATTTTCACCACATTATTACCGATATAGCTGCCGTATTAAAACTTCCATGTCACCAAGGTTACATAAGGCCTGCATACCAAGTTCATCGTGCAAACTGCTACCGCCTACAGCAGATGCAGTGGCATGTGATGCTTCTAAGTGGACACTCCCATTTCTCACCAGGAAGGAGGCGCTAGCACCCAGCACAGCTGCCTGGGAAGGGGGGCGGGACTGCACTCTGACCTGGGAGGAGGGCTGCTGGCCTTGCTGACCATCTTGAAGGCTAGGAGAAAACACGGATTGGGGACACATTACCAGGAAGAAGAGAAAAATCACCAGAAGTGAAGCAAAACAAGACTTTTCAGTTCAAAGAAGAAAACTTAAAAAGGCTAGAGCATTAAGAAGCTGCTTATTAGGGTTAAGATAACCCATGAGCTCTGTATAACAGAATATTCAGACACTAGTTACGTCAGTAATCTAGAGATACAGTTCCTGTCCTACTTCTTAGAAGTAGTATTGCTTTCTAACATCTCCCCAAGTAATCCTCAAGTATATTCCTTTAAGTCTTACTTTTTGAGTGCAAAAGCAGATTACTGGCGGTTAGTCTAATTGTAGACTAAGCTGAGTTATCACCTACATACACTACTGACAAGTCAAGTCTTTTCTAGATAGTTATGGTTCTTTTTGCTCATTGAGGTATGACTTGATCAATTGTTTAGTTGGCCGTTTGGGTGGGGGGTTTTTTTGGTCACAATAACATCACCTTTCTTGCTACTAATCTGCATTCTGACTAGAAAATGTCTTTAAGCTTTGTTAGTAGCCACAGACCCTGTAGATAACTTTAGTTCAATGTTTGGATTCAGATTTTTTTTTTGAACATACTAAGAATGCTTATAACAAATTACTAATCGGCAAGAAGTTTTGAGTCTATTCTGAAGTTATTTTGACAATACAGCAAAAACTTTATTACTCAGTATTACTACTGCAAATAAATCCTTCTATACTCAGACACATACCTGCACAAAAAAAACAGGTTTTTAAAACTCAACTTGGGCTTCAGAGACATTTGTAACTTCACAGCCGTATCAGTAGACAATGCTTGAAAACGTTAGTTCTTCTCTTCAGTGTTCTCATTGCAAAACTACTTTATAAAGCTATTTAACAAAGTTAGATTTTTTTTAAGAGCTTGTTTAATATTAAACATGGCAAAGTGTCAGAATACATGCTATTTACACTTATATATTACATCTACTTTGCAAGATTATTGTTTTTATTATCCTTCATTTTGTGCATTTAAAGAAGTTACCTGTCACAGTCATTAGCTGTAGGATGTGATGAAATTAAGAAATTATTTTTTTAGACAGATAAAGCAATTTATATTTGAAAGACTATGGAAAAGATCTTAAAAAATCTTTCGAAGAAATCAATCTTTTTCACCTGTGGCTTTTAACATTTCACTGTTTACAATGTAATGCTACAGTTGGCAAGTGAGGCAACTGAAAAAGCAAGATCTTACTAAAAGCTGAGGGATTATATCTGATGTACTTGCTGTTAATGTTTTCTAGAACATCTACTTTTCAGTTGTTTTGTTAGAGCACCACTGGAAAACAAAATATGGATACAAGTAGACTAAGTGTTAAGAAAAGCTCATGCAAAATAAAGCAGACATGCACACAGCTCATGAGGTAAAAAACTGCAACTCATTATTTATCATACTCTCAAATATTTTAATCTGAACTTTAAATTCAGCATTTTGCTGCTGTAGACAAGGTTTTCGGTAAGCTACATGGCAACAAAAGCCCTAAGGAAGCTCACAGATGTGCCAGCCTTCACTGTCTCCCTTAAGTATTATCAGCAACATCAAAACAATGCTAAACAATATTGCTTTCCCTTAAACAGCAGCTGTGTATCAAAAGGTATATACAAAGTTGCCCTTTCAGTGGTTATCCATATTTGTCACAATAAAAAACAAAAAAAATTGACATTAACAGATTGCACAGATATGCAAAAGATACATTTATTCTCTGCCTAATTAATCATTTTAAAAATAAAATTCTGCTTCAGACAGTCACTTGTATTTTCATATCAGACACACATGCATACACCACTGACTACATGGGATGCCAGTGCATACTTATGTTTAAAGTGCCCAAAACACTGCTGACATTTAGGCAGGACAAAAGCAGGGGTGGCTGGTTGTTTTGTGGTGGGTTTTAGGGTTTGGAGTTTTTTTTGTTTTGTTTGTAAGTTACCAGGCAAACTACTTGTGTCTCATTTAGCATCAAACCAGCAGAACTTACTAGACCAGGTTTTACTTAAGTGTCTGCCATTACCAAACACACACATATGTAATGCCACTGCCTCTTTTACTAAACTTTCCACAGAGGAAATTAAAAGTAATTGCAATAATGGATAGGAAGTTTTAAAAAAAAAAAAAAAGTCAAACACAACAGGATCCAAGGGAACATCCCCACAACATCCAATTTTATGCCACTGCTAGAAGATTAGGAGATTAAAGTTTTGCTGGCAAGAACAAGAAAGAAGTAACATCAGGGTAACTAAAAGTTCATAAATGTAATACTGTTAGAAGTTTAACATCTGAAGTCATATGGATTAGCAGTATCACGAACTAGACCAAGGCAGCTCACCATTAGCATATACAAGTAATGCCAGTACAGTTGCAGTGATATTTTGAAAAGATCTTGGTGGTAACTGGCTAAAAAAAAAAACCACCAACAAAAACAACTAAACACACAAACCCAAAACAAACAAACAAAAAAGCCCACAAACAAACAAAACCACCTCTGTATTTCTTCACATTTCTTCCCTATGCACAATAATTTTTCCTTAATCTTTTTTAAGGGTTTCTTCTTCCAGCAACACATAGAATTTACACTAAAATTAAGCGACTCATAAAGGAAAGCTTTTTCAGACTATTCATCTAGAAACCAGAACAGTAATAAATACAATTTCTCAGATACATCCCACAATTGGTAGTTCAAATGCAATTTATGTTAAACAAATCCAAAGGCACTTTGGTGTTTGGTTGGACTAAGGCAATTTAGCTCCGCTCCAAGGAACAGTCTTTCAGCATCACAAACAATGCTTCGAGCAAAGTAACCTCACCAAGTACTCAATTCTGAACAGATATTTATAATACAATATTTTTGATAATGTGTGTCATTATGTCAAAGACAGTACAGTGGTTTTTTTTTTATTTAGAAAGAAACAAATTTAGATAACTGGAAGATGCATAAAGGAAATACAAGGCTAGAATCCACTTTTTCACCCTTGAACACCTTGTCTGATTAACAAGTTACTTCCACCAACTTTAGTTTTCACATGATCTCTCACTGAAGTCCAGCTTAAGCCATGGGAACCTTAATGACTGCACTAGCATGTGAAAATGAGGCAGCTGCCAGCCTCAGTTTAAAACAGGGTTCTTCACTTGCCCTACTTTATACCTGTTTAAGAGAAAGAAAACTCACTGTTTTCTGGCTAATGCACAGGTAAGGAGCTCTGATTAGTCTGCACAGCCTCTTATGAGCCAATACACAAAACCATACTATCCTCCTTCACAAAAAAAAACATAAAAACGAGGAAACAAAGAACATGTCAGAGGCAAGTGAATGCAATGGAGACTAGAGCAAAAGCAATCTAAGGGAATGCAAAGTTTTAGCAACCCTCACTATGAAGTGAATCACTAAGTTAAAGTTGAACAAGCTACATTCAGCAAGACCAGAAGTTTAACAAAAAATTACGTGATTACTGCTACATACTGCACTAGCCACTAAAACCACATCTAACTAGTTTCAGTCCTTGATGTGGCAGAATTCAATCCTTCATTTGCTACATTTTAGGTACTTGCAACCCTCCTGCCTGAGGAAAACGTACAAACTTAGTCCTTGATTATTTCAGTGGTCCCACAAAGATGGCACGATTCTTCCCTAATCCTCTATTGTAAAATATTTTCTTTTTATTTGCTTGGTTTCTATAGCTTTTTCCAGTTAAAAAAATTACACAAGTACTCCCAAAACACAAAAGCAGATTAGTCCTATTATTAAAAAATAGCTTAGCATATGAAGGAAGATCATTAAGAATACACAACATATACAATTATTCCTGCATATTTATCATATAACTGGAGGAAGAAATACTTTGATAGGTATGAGGGAGTATTCCTTCCTTTACAGGCAGTGTTCTGATTGCCAGATTCTCCAACACCGTAGGCAACCACGGGATTGAAAGATTTAAAAGGCAAGTTTAAAAACTTATTGTCGTTGATGCTTCTACTGTTCAAGCTGACAGACCAAACAGAGCTGCTGTACGTAATATATCACTAGGCTCAGTATAGTTAACAAATGGGCCAGTGAAGGTTGGGGACTCCTGGGATACATGTATATAGCACATTTCAAACATCGCCAAGGCATGCAAACTGCCACACAATCAGATTTAATGCTGAGCAATATTGTGCATTCTATAACAAAGGTATTGCTATTACTTATTTCTCTTTTGCTGTAAAAAGCTGCAGGATGTTCATACAATGGTTTACCTGTATTTTAGACTTGGAACCTCTGCTCGTATGATTTAGCTCTTTATAATGTTCTGCCATTTTGTTATTATGCTTATCTCTCACTATCTACAGTTGTAAAAAGTGATTACAGGACTAGTCCCTAATGCTTACTTTCTTAAAGGAAAGAAAACCAATATGAAGAGTGGTGAATAATACTTTCTTGGATTTTTCTCCTTGCTTGAAAGTAAAAGTTTCTGAAGCTTTTGATAAAAAATACTGAGTCTAAGTTTGTTAGCATTAGTTCATTTTGTTATCAATCTGAAATCAGCTATAACATGTTAGAGACTGGCTATCCTGATCACTTTGAAAATAGTGCCACATATACATGCACAATTCAACAAGCCCACAGTGACATGCAGTGACAGCTCAAGGAGGTTATGGTGGGGAAGGAAGTAAAAAGTGCTTTTCTGGCAACACTGGTGGGTGTAGGGAGAAGTGGTCTGCTGCATGCATGCTAAATATGGTGGAACATTTAGATACCCTACCTGAGGGGTGATCCGATGAGCAATGTAGGAGGGGTAGGGTTACTCCCTGCATTGTGCCGGCGTCGTACTGCCTGACGCCTAAATGTGCTGCGTTCACGACGAAATGTGACAGTCTCCTCGCTGGCTTGTGCTGCTGCATCAAGACAGACTTTAGGTCAAATAAGAACCCATCCTAGTTAGGTACACAGTAACTTAAGACTCCTTTCTTCCCCCTGACCCTCCCCAAGTTAATCAACTTGACTTGCAACAACAAAAGTAGCTTATGCACTGACTGTTCAAATAACTTGCCTCAAGACGTGATCAAAACACAGTTATTAGTAAAATTTTTGGCGGTTTGCTGGTGGGTTATGTGTGTTCTTGAATATACAGCTCCTTTCCACTCCCCCCCTCCACCCCAGATCCAAACCGCCAGGTTGCAAAAAGAGTTGGATACCCCAAATCTCTCAAATCTCCTCCATTTACACAGAGCAGGAAGAGACTGATCTCATTATCTCATTTAACAGATAATTAAAGAAGCCGCCTAAAGGACAACCTAGAAAGGTTGTCTGCCACTCCTCACCATAATATTCTCTTCTCAATTTTATAATTTCTGCCAAACAGGTAGGGTCGAGGCTAAACTCCAAAAGAGTTGCTTTTTTTCTTTCTCCTCATAAGCACCAAGAGATACATGTTGCTCATTTTATACTAGTTACACTATGATTTGGACGAGCAGAGGATTGAGATTAAGTGAGAGAATAACTTCTTTGTAAGGATCGGTGGTTTTGTTATTTCAACTCGCCAAACAAAAACCCACACCAAAAAAGGTTTGGTCCACTTATAAAGCAACACCGTAAAAAACAGTTTGTATGTACTCAAGGAAGCCTATTACTTTTCTACAGATTACCCCCCAAAAATCCATCTGTGGTCCCTAAATTTCACTATCTGAACAACTTCAGATTTCAACTGTTTCATGGTGTGCCTACATCTGAGTCTTCCTCCTGAACCAAGGAAACTACTAATGAATTTGAATGCAAAGCACAAGAGAGCTCAAATGAATGGGTCACAGAGAAAACAAGTTTTGGCAGGGAAATGAAGGAGGAGGGAAAAAAACACACAAACAAAACACACACACACACACAACAAAAACACCAAACACTTGACATGAAGTCAGTGCAAGAGGAGAGTCACAATCTTGAAGGAGAAGTCAAAACTTGGTAGCCAAGAAACCTGTTACTAGAGCGAGAAAACCAAGGAGTGTGTCAAGCCAAAATAAAAAAAGGAAAAAATACTAACAGAGCAATGCTTTGTTTATGGCAGAAAGATCACAGGCAGAGTAGTCCATGTTCACTTAAGCACATTTCGAATTACAACATTCCTGTCATTAAGCTTTCAAAACTTACGAGCAAAGTCTCTAAGGCTGACCAACCTATAGCAACCTACTACTGCTGTTGTGTCTTACTGCCTCAACCCAAGCAATAAAGACTGCATGGAATAAGAGTCTAATTCCAGCCATGAACCACAGGTTATCAAGTGAATACACTACATGAAACTTCAATGTGTAGTTTGCTTTAAAAGCTAAGAAGCTATATGAAGAGATACACTTTTAAGACTGACATTGAAGTTACAAGCATTTCATTACCAAAATGTCAAAAGTTAAGGACATCCTTAATTCAGTCCTTTCCTATATTTTGAGGAAAACCTTGGGATTGCTCACTTTCTCCTCGCTCCTCCACAGTTGTTTTTGTTATTCTAAGCATGAATAGATGATACTTCCTTTTTAGTGTGTTTCAGCAAGAATTCAAGACATTTCTCCTGTAGTTTAATATACAACTTTATGCTTTGTTTTAATACACAGCCTAATTTCTTCAAGGTTTTCCTTATACCTCTCACACTTGAAATACTCAGAAAGTGAAACACACTAAACAAGATCATATGAATCCTGACTTTTTTCTGGTGGATTAAGTTAACACACAAGAGGTCAAAACTGCCCACTAATTTTGGGTGCCAATTTGTAAAGCTCAGTTTTTCCGGTGTATACATCAGCACATAAAAACTCACGTATTCACAACACGGCTTCCACTGACTTCAGATGCAAAAGAATTGCACGCGTTTCTGCTAATCAGGCCATAGTTAAGCAACAGAAAAGAACAAACCGTGACTAGTCTTAACTGAAATGTAAATATCTGAATTACCATTAAGATAGTAAACATCAGCATCACATCTCAATTAACATTTGCAACTACTTAGCAAAAGCAGCATTCAAGTGCAATTCTTCAAGGCAGCATACTTAACACTGAGGACATTTGTTTTTCTTTCATATCCTTTATTCAGTAAATATCACCTTCTGCAATAACTGAAGCCCAGACTATGGGAACACTAGAGGTCCTCCCTACACAGCTCTAATTTACCACTAAAGCAAGTCTACATCAAGCACTGACTGAGGCAGTGTCCTGTGAGGAAAAACAGAGAGATAAACACGTTTGAAGATAAAAAAATTTAAAAATCAAAATTTATATGTACTTCGGTATTCAATTCAAAGCTGCACAGGCAAATAGTTCTAGCACTTGCTAACTTCTTATAATTTCATTTTAAACTCTAAAAATCAGAGTTGATTTTGGTGTAGCTTTCTACCTAATCTACCAAGGGATTTTTTATTTATCTTGAAACTTTTGTTTAATGCACTTCTTTAATATACCCTCTTCCTGAATGTAGGTGGTGATATTCAGGATCACTAAGCAAGTCTATAAATTCTTTTGAAAAGACTGCAGAGCTTTTCAGCCCAACAAGCTCCAAGTGTGCTAACATTATGCAACATCTCAAGAAGATACATGTTGAAACCATGAGTAAGAAACAAAACAACAAAAAAAAAACAGGCTAGTTGAACATAAAGGATTACAGTTTGTTTGAAATGTGGAAAGCCAAATTGAACAAAGTTTGGTTTCGGTTGATTTAAAAAAACCAAACAACTAAACACATTTTAAAGAACACACAGGATTTAAAAAAAAAGTACACCAGTATGGAAAGCTACTTACATATACTATTTATGTATTACTTGTGTTCCTACTTGTCTTTAATGAGAAGGAACAGTATAGCTGCTCTTCAGTTCACTAGTAGAATGTAAGATAAAGCTCCTAAATTATCCTCTATCGTGCCCTGACAGCAGTTTAATCATGAGGGAAATGGCTTTAACATAAATAAGCTTCCTTTAATATTTACAAAGTAACACAATGTTCTGATGTTTAAAAACCAAACTAAACAAATAAAATTATCCCTGTAGGACAGCTTTTTCTTTTTTTTTAAATGCATCCTTAGACGACTCACACTTCTCTGATGCCGCTACTTACAACCACTTACTCTAGACTCCATAAAGGTAAGATCCAACATCTACACTCCTGTACAAAATCTAGATCTAACAGGGAGGGATAACATAGGTTATACTATTACAGTTCCTGCTTATTTAAAGTAAATCAGTAAAGAAAAACAAGCCTTTCAGCTTACAGTGTTTGTTGTCGAAGTCTGTTCTATTTTTCTGTTTTATTCTAAACTTATGTTGAAACACTACACTCCATTAATGTAAAGAAATATAAGTATACATTTCTTCTGCATGTTGTCATATGAATTTCAGCCCTCAACATTAGTTTTTCTGTTTCTGAGAACAGCTAAGTTCAAAGTGCTCAAGTTAGAAATACAAACCTACATCCCATAGATCAATAAAATAAGAGGTAGAGATCTAATGACAACTTCGTAACAAACTTAACCCTCCCACATCTATTCCCAACTACAATACATCTAATTTGACTTTTGTATTTGTTAATGCAACTGTGCATATGAATACATATTTATTAAAATTCATCCTTTTTTTCTTTCATTACACTTCTGATTGGAAAAAAGCCAAATTAGCGGCTACACACTTAGAAAGTCACGAGGATCTCATTTCGTCATCACACATTTGGAATGATACTTTCCCAATAAAAGGACTAAAATTTATTCTAGAGAAAGTTCTAGAATAAAAAAATAATTCACATTCCTTTGTCAAACAGCTTGGAATATCTGAACATAGGTTGAACTACCCTGCTTGCAGGTTATGTCTTTCCAAAAATTTCTCTTTCTACACTATACAGGGTGTTTTTGATGTAAACCTCTGCAGTTCCTCAAAGTTTTAACCAGAATTGAGGACTTAAAGTTTTACACTATTACTATGCAATTGTTGTACAATACAACTAGCTTTAAGAAACATAAAATGCAATACTTTCTTTCAAACAGGAACATTCACACATATAACCCAAAACATTTACAACATCACCCTGCATGTATGTGCCACTGCTTCTAACCCAAACTTAGAAGATGGAAGCTGAAGAAGCATGAGATGAGAAAGCAGAATTTCCAAATTTTATTGCATCAACAAGTCCCATTTCCTTATTGCTAGTCAAAGATGCTAAACGCAGTGCCTCAGATAAATTCTGAAATGCAGATAAATTCTTCCCAAGTAAGAAGATTGCTGGAAAGATATGGTATGGAGGTAATACAGAAGTTAAAATATTCATGTGGAAAACCACAGAGTTCTCAGGATAAAAACTGCAAACTTCAGTCTGACTAGAAAGAAAACAAAAAACCAAAAACACCCACACACAATCAAAACACAGTGTCCCTCACTTCTCAGAAGAGAAAAAAAAAAACAAACACAAAAAACACACATCACTTAAAGCCTAGATGGTTTTGAACATTAGTCAGGTTAAGCATGTGCACGGAACCTGAGCAATGTTTGGACACGCCATTTCTCTCCCTATCAAATGGGAAATTGTGATCAAACTATTTTCAACCAGTTGTAATGATGAACCCTGCAAACTCTCAGGGAGAGCTGAAATGAATAGTTTATGGCTTATGAATTCACACAAGAAGTTGGATCTGTCTTCTAACACTGAACATACTTTGCCAAACCAAATTGCTGAAATTTTGCTCTTCTGTATCAAGTAGCTGTACCTCCTTTGTGCTCAAAATCCATGTTTCACATGCATTTATGGGCTAACACCACCACTCTCCTCATGACTGAGGCATCCGTAATTTATTCTCATCTGCCCTAACACTATTTTAAAAACCATACTTCTAAGATACCCAAGTAGAAAGGAGTCCATATCTTCAGTATACAGTTAATAA